TGTTCAAGTAAAAAATTAAAGAAGTAAGCAAACCCCTTATGATCAAAAGAAGGGCGATAAGATAATTGGAGTAGCTGTGAATGGAGCGAGTAGCAATAAACCAGCTGGTTTAAATTGGTAATTATTATATCAGTTGACCAAGCTTAATAAACCCAATTGTATAAGATAAAGAACAACCGAAATTGTGTATGAATAATTATTATTAGAATAATAAAGAATTACAGTTATTTTTTTCAAAAACGAAGATATACTTAACAGGGTTTAGAGGATATATATCAAGTGATATATATCACAATATATATCATGATATTTATCTATATATATATATATATATATATATATATCCGATATATTCGATAATTTTATTTATTAAATTAAAAATGTTTTGCACCATTCTGAACATCCGAAAATGTCTCAATACGCCCCTATATAAAAGTATAATAACTAGCGATTAATATGTGTTTGTGTTAAATATTAATGTTAACAAAATAATGTTAAAATCTGTTAATTTTATAAATTATTTTTTTTTTTTTTTTTTTTTTTTTTTTTTTTTTTTTTTTTTTTTTAATTTGGGTTAGAATAAACGGTTGTGTTATTTAGAATATAAGTTTTTGTTAATATGTTTGTGTTAAAGTTTAAAATATAGTTTGTGCAAGAAACAATACTGTTTTTAATTAAATAATTAAATTTTAAAACTGATATATATCATGTGATATGATATTTATATAAATATCATGATATTTTCGAACCCTGATACTTAATGTCTATAAAGTCACTAAAGGAGTATAAAAGACTAAAAAGAAGAATATGACATTTGTCTTAATATGACAGATGACTTATCAGCTGAAAAAAAAAACAAATTTATAAATAAATATAATAATAAATGTTCTTTATTGAGTTACAATACCCAACAAGCCATTGGCTGAAGTCCTTCAGCCTAAAACAAACTAATAGAATGAAATTTTTAATTTTTTAAAGTTTTTTAGTATAAATACAAATATGAAAATATTTAGTGAAAAAAAAGGGGGGATTTACACACTGACAGTCAAACTAATTAACACTTTTTCTGCTTTAAGTATTACTACTTTATAGACATTAATTATATCTTCATTTTTAACCCATTCATAGCCACATTTTTCTTTACTAAATTAAGTTAGTTTTCTGAATGGTAATACTGCTCAAAGTCTAGGAAAAATTGTAAAATAATTTTATCTTACCTATAAAAAAAGTTCCATTATTGGAACCTGGCCACATGAAAGTGTAGTAATTTTGAAAAACAAACAATATCGAACAAAGTCATTTATTCATTTTAAAATATATAATTGATTCTGTTGATCATAAAAAGTTTTAAAATAGTTCAAAGGATGCATATTGCCGTGATACACAACACAACCAAAAGTAGATTTTTTAAAAACTACATCAATTTCGTTTGAGAGTTTGTGTATAATGCGACACATTCAAATTGTTAGACACATCTGTGGGCACATTTCTAGTCAATACATTTCTGGAACTCAGTAGTGAACCCGTCCAACCATACCCAAGTTGTAATTTTTCTAAAAAGGGACAAACCAGTAAAAAACATCAATCAAAAAATTGTAATGACATTCTAGATTAACATAATTAAATCTGTCAGTAAAAGAGCTTACTACTAATCTTTCAAGAGCAAGCTCTGAATTTTCAAGATGCGATCATTTTCCCTGATAAAGCTCTGTACTTCTCAAATATCTATCCATTTGAACCGTTGATCTACCAAAATTTAAAAGTCTTTGTTTACCACTGTGGTGACTGCAATACGAAATCACTGAATCATCATCAACATTTTCTATTTTAGGAAAATTTAAAAAATGTAGCTATCTCAAAACCATTCAAATAGATCAACAGGATTACTCTGTTTTATGTCTTCAGTTGGCCTTGAAGTAACATTTGACGTCGCAGGGATTGTAAGATTTCTGTCATTCCATTTTGCTGTCTTCTTGATTTTTCTTTGACAAATTTTTTCAACTATGCCTTCACTACAGTCGATTTCTATGCAAAGCACTTTTCTATGGCCTGTTTTTGTGACTGCTTAAAGTGGGACTGTTGATTTTTTTGTACAACTTTTTGCTATTTGTAGATTCCGCTGCTTCACAAAGAGTTCCATCATCACTTGTGTCATACACACGATTGCTATGAATTTTTAAAGATGCCTCGGCTGAAGCACAGAGTATTTTTGACGAAAACTTATTTGCAGAGTCATCTTCATTATCGGATATCTCGAAGTCCCCTTCAGTCATTTGTAGGGGGTGTGATGTAAATGTCAGCCGAGTCAAAGATTTATTCATTAACTGCAGTAAATTGGACTAGCTATACCGACCTAAGGAATTTTACTACTGGAGCAATTCGACGAGAAAAAAAACGCTTATTTAAACTTTATTCTTAGAGAAAAGAATTCCAAGACCACCTGGAACACTCTAAGATCCTTAGAAATTCTTAGAAAAAAAGCCAGTCCTGTTATACCACCTAACTTAAGTAATGTTACTGAAATTAACAAACATTTTAATTCTTCTCCTACTACTCTGAAGTCACATGACCAATTAGCCTTACTTGATCGGTACTATGAAAATATATATGAAAATAAATTCGAATTTAAATCTGTCTCTTCTGATTCAGTTCGAAAATCTCTAAATCGTATAAAAAGTTATGCCGTTGGTTTAGATAACATCACTGCGCATGATACAGTTAGTAGAAAATTATTTAATCAATCATTTAACATTTATTTTTAATAAAATAATTTCTTCATCTCATCCACTTTCGTGGGAACAGGCTTTTATTATTCCGCTTGCTAAATGTAATCAACCTACTAGCTTATCTGACCTGCGTCCTATTAGAATTCTACCAACCCTTTCTAAATCGTTTGAATTTATACTTAAAGATCAAATTAGCAAATATGTATACGACCAAAATATAATAACTCCAGCTCAATCTGGCTTTAGAATGCACCATAGTACGACCACTGCCCTCTTATCTATCACGGATGACCTTTTTAAAGCGACAGACCTGGGCAAAGTCACATGTTTGGTTCTCCTTGATTATAGCAAAGCATTTGATACTTTAGATCATCCAACACTTTGCAAAAAACTGAAATTTTTCGGTTTTTCTCATAAATCCATTTGTCTAATATCAAATTTTCTTAGCAATCGTACTCATAAAGTTATTTTGGAAGCTGATATATCCAGCAGTCTACCCGTTAGTCAAGGTGTTCCGCAAGGATCCATTCTGGAACCATTGCTATTTTCACTATATATAGCAAAATCTTATTAACGACGATTTAAATGCATTACTTGATATTTCTACAGCTAACAACCTTAAAATAAATTCTAAAAAATCATCCATCATGCTATTTGGCCCTAAAAATTGAGACAATTAACAATAAACGCATTACAAATTAAATTAGGCGATGCTCTTCTTCAATTAACCAATGAAGGAAAAAACCTAGGTCTCTGGTTAGATTCTGATCTTAGTTTTAGTAAACATACCTCCACATCTCAAAGTTCGTTCAACGTCTTAAGACAGTTGTACCCTGAGACCTGCTTTCCACACAACTCAAACTTAAACTTTGTGAATCTCTCATTTTTTCCAAATTCAGTTATTGTGATTCTATCTACGGTCCAGCCCTATTCCAATCCGATTCCGCTCGTTTACAAAAAATTCAGAATAGCTGCCTACGTTTTGCCTATGGAATTCTAAAATTATCATATCTCGAATAAAATGAAAGAATCAGGTTGGTTGACTTTCAATAACTATCGCCTTTTGCATTTATTAACCCAAGTTCACAAAATTTTGGCTCATACAGAAACCTGATTATTTAGTTAACAAATTAAAGACATTTTCCAATATTAATGAATTTCCTACGCGGAATCGAATGACCTTGGTGGTACCGAATCATAACACGGCTCTATTTAAAAGATGTTTTTCTTATGTTGCATGTAAAGAGTACAATAAACTTACAAATGAATTTAAATCATATAACTTGCTTAATTTCAAGAAACGCCTAAAAGAATCTTTGATCAATAAGCAATGGTCATAAAAAAAATATATTATATAATGCAACGAATTTGGTTTTGAAAATCTGTTTATATTATATTGTTATATTTTAATGTTATTTACAGGTTAAGTTGTAAATCAGCACAAGCTGAACTTCACCTTTTCATCTACCTTATATGTATATTTTTACACTTATACTGAAACTTGATGAATAAAGACGCTTTATTATTATTTTTAACCTTATTCAATAAACAGTTAAAACATCTCTTTTTCCCATAAAATGTTTTTGAATCCATTTACTCTAAGAACAAAAATTCCAATTTACTACACTTAAAAAACGCCAAGTTCCAAAATCAGAACATACCTAAAAATGGAGGTCGATATAATTCCATAACCAACTAAACTTTTTATAATAACTGAACCTCTCTAGAGATCACAACTGAACGATAGCAACATAAAATAAATAATTTTCAAAATTAATACTTACAATAACAGTGCTTATACTACAAACATATTTGAACCTATTAATCTGGGGCTAAATTGGATACTGTTCCATTTTTGGAACATGGCCAGGAATGAGTTAAAATAATAATTTTGATTCTTTATTATTATATTAATTATTCAAACACAGCTTGGTTTCTTCTTTATCTCTTCCATTGGGTATTATTAAGCTGGTCAACTGATATATGGTTTAACATAATTTTAATAATTTCCTTTATGCCTAAGTTTTACTTTTAACTATGCTTGTGTGCCAGACACCATTTTGTTAAATAGTTCACCGTCATTACCAAGTATTTAAGTATCATCTTTAAGCTTTGTAACATTCAATTTATTGTTATATTATTAACTATCTAATTTCTCCCACATTGTTAAAAATGTGATTTTATTATGTTTTTTAAATTAAAGACCTTTTAGACACTTCGGGAGAAAATTGTATATCAGTTCAAAAAGTTTTTACATGAGAAAATGATACTTACCTTGTCCATCAGGTTGCAGCGATTGAACTTTTTTAATGGCATATTCAGCTGTTGTGAGATCGCCCAAAGCTATACCACACTTTGCCATTCTAGTATATCCCTTCACAAAATTTGGGTCAAGTTGGACACTTTTTCTGATGTCCTCAAGAGCTTCCACATATCTAATTACAGTAAAAAAATATGAAGACACCATTAATTTTTTAAGACAATAAAAAATATATAAAATATACAGAGCAAAATTCAAATAATGAGAAAAATTACTACATTCGCTATTAAGTAATGTAGCAAAATTCATGTTCCTGCTCACGCTAATTTCAGCAATGAAAATTATTAATGACATCTTAGAACATTTCTCAAAATCGCTATATTATGGACTTTATAAAACATTTGCATAAAAAATATTTATTAAAATTGTTTTAAAATCCATTATAGAATCCAAAAAAATACAGGATAGGGAACAGTGCACGTCCATCTCTATAATTTGTGGGAATATCTACAAACCTACCACCTCTCATGTGTTCAATATTGCTTACTTTGAATAATCATCTAACTTTCTAACTCAAAGCTCAAGTTTTATGAGCAATTAAATGAAAATAACATATTGGATATAATTTTTAGCCCACCATAGTACCTTGGAACCATATTGCATGGGTTTTTCATATCAATGAACATCATGTGCCGATCCCTTTATTTTTGTTTGCATTTCTCCATAAAAATAAAAATCGCATTTGTCATAGACCATAAACTGATCGAAGTATATGTCAAGCCCTGTGAAGCGGGCGGACAGAATGGCTTCACTGGGGCATTTACCATCGAATTTGTAGAAGTCCACCAAATTGTCACATACCAAAAATTGGACAATTAGAGACACCTTTCGGCAATGTTATTAACCTACAGGACATGCGTCAGGGTCAACCAATAGGTTTTTGACGAGTTGATGACCTGCAGGACTTTGACAGGATGAGAAAATGGCTGGGCTGTAGACACCTTTCAGTGACAATCAGCAGATTTCGACGAGTTAAGAGGCAGGTCCTATATGACCCTGGAGGATGCACAGTGGACATGAGACCTAAGTGCTGTGGTATAACCCACCCTCCCCACCTTACAGATTTAGACAGATGGCATGAATCATAAAAAGTATATCGTGGGCTTACAAGCAAATGACGTTAAGTCAAAAAACAGGTATAAGCACTTTAAAGTTTCAATAAAGTTCTATTTTTTTATAAATTATTTAGGGATTATCAACGGCTTCAAAGATAATGTACATGCTTTCTGAATTCAATGCACTGTTTTTACATGATATACAAAAATATAAACCCATTTTGACAAACTTTTGACTTGGTGCCTTTTGCTTGTAAGCCCACGATATGACATGTCGAAAGTAATATGCTGAGATGAAATTGTCAGAAAAAACATACCTGTTAAGCATCATGTAGCAGGCCGCTCTGTTGCCATAGTATGAAGCAGTTTCAGGACAAATATTAATGGCTTCTGAGTAGAGAGGTAAAGCTGATCTGTACTGCTTGATTTTGTACAGTTTATTGCCATTTTCTTTCTTCAGTTCTGCAATTCTAAAGGAAAAACAAACATATTTTATAGGTGACTTTATTATGTATAATAATAAAAATATTAATAATAATAATAATAATAATAAAAATATTAATAATAATAATAATAATAAAAATATTAATAATAATAATAATAATAATAATAATAATAATAAAAATATTAATAATAATAAGAATGGGAAAAAAATATTGAAGTAGCTGAAACAACTACATTACGATCCATCACCAAATCAAGACACCCAAGAAACCCATTACATAATCCACCTAATGCCCTTCTCTATGATATTACACAGGTAAAACCTATAAAGCAGCGATTAATAAATTTGACTCAGAAATTCTGTGAAAAAGAAGAGACCATAAATATACTTGAACCGCTATGCAGACTCCGTGATCCACCCAGGCATGTCAAGAGGAAGTTTCATGAAACTACTGTATGGGAATATATATCACATCACAGTGGGACCTTTAAGACATAAACAAACTTGTGCAAAATTTAATTCATTGTTTTTTTTTTTTTTTAGTTTAAGATATGTTACATGTATATTATTATTATTATTATAACGAATCACAATGTTATTATCAGGCTGAAGGACTTCGGTCGATGGCCAGTTGGTTATGCCAATAAAGTACGTTTATTATTATTATTATTTATAAGAAAGGGAAGGGTGGCTCAGTGGTAGGGTGGCTCAGTGGTAGAGTGTCTGCCTGTGGATCCAAGGGTCCCAAGTTCGAATCCCACCGTTGGCTGGGATTTTTTTATTTAATTTAATTATTTAAAATTATATCTGATGCCTTGGTAGGATTCCCCACTCGACCATTGACTCTAGGGTTCTAATTAACAGTGCTGTTCCTAAATTAGCGCTGGGAAACAGTAACAAAGCCTACACAGAACATGAGGCTAATGGCCTTAGTAGTCAATGCCGATAACATCAAATTAAAAAAAAAAAAAATAATATTAATAATAATGCCCTCGTTTAGTTTTGGTATTTTATTTAGTTAACACAATCGATTCGTTGCGTAAAGGTCATCATGTTAAATTTTTTTTAAAGAAAAGTGAAATAAGGAAATACATTTTTGGCAGAAACCGACTGGTCTTTCATATCAATCTGTGAAGACGTCAATGTTAGTGAACAACGAATTCACAATATTATTGCAAAGGGTATTGCCAAATTCGTACCCAGAAAACGTATTAGAAACAGCAAATATCCTGTTTCGTTAGATGACACAATGGGGCATGTTCAAAAATTTTGAATTTTTTTTTATGAATAATAGAGTTGAAAATAAAATTACATTTTTTTTATTTTTTTTTTTTATCTATTCATTTGCCGGAGTTATGAATTTTTTTAAAATTTATGACGTCACCGGGAATAGACCAATAGGAGCTAGCGCACAACGTTGCCGGCTAGAAGGTTTACGAGAAGTGATGTACGTTCGTTTGTGTACTCCTTCTTACTTTTAGACTTCTAAAACATCGTTAAACAAATATCTTTTAAATATATAATATCAAATGTTTTTTGAAAGTATTATTTCTGTTTAAACTTTTACCATATTTAAAGTTTCATTGTTTTAAAAGTCACTTAATAATTCAGAAAATGGCAAAATGGCAGCACTGTGTATCGCATCTGTCATTATAGTGTCTCCATCAAGAATTTATTTGGAATTTGATTGTTTAATTTTGTACTTTTTATAAATATTATGACTACGAAAAAGTGTTTTGTTCCAGAATGTGATAATGATTCACATTCATCTTCAAAAATATTTATTAGTGTTCCTAGAAATTTGGAAAGAAAAAAAATCAACCTTCTACTAGCGATGTTTCTCGTGAACTTTTTAATAAAAATACACCGGATTATCAAGATGTAGCAGCAATTTCTGCTAATTGTCCCCTTCAGGAAATTGAAAATGAGGCTACTATAAATTCTTAGGTGTATAACCTAAAAACCCTTCTGGAAGAAAATGCAGAATCTCCTGAAAGTTTTGAAGATACCGAATTTATTCATCATTTTGTGGAAGAACTAGTGATAAAGAAATAATGGAAAAATGTGGGTATTTAAACAAACTGGTTCCTGGATCCCATATAATGGCAGATAGGGGTTTCAGAATAATCAGCTACTTGAAAACATGAGATGCACTTTAGTAAAGCCACACCTAGTGTATCACAGAATGAAAAAACTTCTCCAGAAGATGTACAATTAAGTAAAAGAATAGCATCTCTAAGAATACATGTGGAAAGAGTTATAAGAAGGGTTAGTTAATTTAACATGTTAAAACCACATTCGTGTGTGAATTTTAAGCAAGTACATTTACTTAGTAATATCTGCATAATTGCTTGTTAACTTACAAGAACCTATTTTGTAAGAGTAAATATTAATTTAATAAACTTTTTTGTTTGTTTTTCAATTTAATTTACCTAATTATCACATTTCAGGGATTATAATGAGTTTTTAAACAGCCAATGTAATTTTTTATAAAATTTTAACTTTTTGAGCAAATCAAAGAGGAATGAGTACCTGTATATGCATAGATTTTTTTGGGACTAAAACTACCAAAACAAAGGCACCTATTTACAGCAGTTTAAAATGAAACATTTTAACAAAAACGCCTATGTCACAGTGATAAATATTAAAAACCAAGTTCAGTTGAATGTGGTAGCAAAGTCTATATATTCCAATAAATCGGGTAACTACATGTGGTATCACTGGTGATAAATTTAAAAATATCACAATTCTTGCCACATTTTTCAAAAAAGCAGAAAGTGTGCCTTCTTATGAAAATGACAACAGTGATAAATGTGAAAAAAAAATTTCATGTTGCTATTCGTTATTACGATAGTAAAACATGTTTGCAGTTCCGTTTATTTTTTATGAAAATCTAAGTAAAAACAACCAATGTCAAAGGGTTTTAATTTTTTTTCTGTCAAACCAAATATATCACAAAATTAAAAATTGATCATAGGTCAAGCTAAAGTAATACCTTTATTAATAGTAGCTTTAAAAAAGGAGAAAGAATAATATTGACTTAAGTTATTATTATTAACATTGGTGATTTTTAATAAAAACTTCAATTATTGTTTACAAACAAAAATATAAAAATCTGTGAAAATTTTATTTATTAACCTTATAAAAAATGAGAAAAATGAAGTAAAAAAACAATTTATTTACAAATAAAAAATATATACAAATCCTAAGAATATAAAAGTACTGATTTATTTTCCTGTAGTGGATGAAGAGGTTTCTTTAACAATCTAGCCAAGTGTACATCATTATCAATAACACTGAGAAGATGTTACAGATGGTTCCTCACTTCTTCTATGAAGCCACATGTTTACAACCTCCTGAAAAAAATAAAAGGGTTAGATATGCAGTTACAAAATAACTATATAACCAGCTACAAAATGCCTTATTTTATGTAACAAGACGAGCACTTTACTAGCTCTGAACGAATCCAGTAAAGAACCTCTGATTTTCAAAACTTAAAAACAAGCTCACCACATTTTCACATTTTTGAAATATTATAGAGCTTTTCGAAAAAAACTGCTATTTTTAAAAGTACCATTTTTGTTTAAACAGCTATGTCTCATTTTAGGCTATTGAGTATTATAAAATAAAAAATTACGGGATGCTTTGTTAGCTTCAAACGAATCCAGCAGAGCACCCCAGTTTTTTTTAAACCACACCTTGGCTCCTACAATATTATAAAATATTCGAAATTTTGCATTTTTAAAAAAATTCGCAATTCCTTGCTGACTTCAAAGTTTTTTTTCTGAAAACAAATATACTTACCACATTTTTAGGATTTTAAAACAGCCTAAACATGTGTCATAAGTAGTTGTTTTTATATATTAAAAAACTGAAGTGTCCTGCTGACTTTGTTCCAACAAAGCACCCTGTATTATTTAAAAATAGCAATTTTTTTAGTAAAGTTTTACAATATTTCAAGAGTCTAAAAATGGGGTGTGGTTTTTAGAAAAAAGCTTTAAAAAACCGAATTGCTCTGCTGGCTTCTTTCGAAGGTTAGCAAGCACCATGTATTTTTTAAAAATATAATATTTCAAGTGCATAAATATATGGTGTTGCTGTTTTTACAGAAAAAACTTTATAAAACAGAGGTGCTTTGCTGACTTCGTTCGAAGCTATCAGAGCATTTTAAGTTTTGCATAAAACGAGGAGCATAAAATTTTTGAAAAGGGTATAAAAATAGCCTAAAAATATGGCATGTTTTAACTCAAAATTTCATAGGTGCTCTGCAGCATTCTTTGGTATCATAATTATTACTAGGTTCACTAACAAAATCTATTTCTAGATTATTTTAACACTTGCTGCGATTACAAAAAATGTCTCTTTATGTCAAAATTAGAAAAAAAATATTTATAGGAATAAAGGGCCTTATACACTGTTTATTATATGTGATATAAAAACAAAAAAGCATAATAAATATTACAAACCTTGAGATTCAACATATCCTAAGCATTGTGCACTAAAAAGTAAATATCTCCATATTCTTGCTTGGCAGATCTAAAAATAAAACCTGAGATAAATATGTTTTACTATAAAGTGTATTGCTTCATATAAACTGTAACTACCTACCATTAAAACAATTTATAAATAAAGTTTTACCTTTCTATGGGAAAAATACTTGATTCAACTTTTATAAATACAGCTGATAAATTCATATTCTTCTTCCTTTATATATCCTATATCCCACAGGATAATTTACCCAGATAAATTCAGATTAATAATAAAATTAAACCAAAACAAAAAACTAAGGTTAGTTGTTAGGTGCTGTCAATTTTTAATGTCACTTAGATGTGCGTTCACTTCGACATTCTGTATGTAGGTTTGTTCGTTGGCTTGGTTTTGTATAACAAAAAAACTTCGACACAAGCTGATTGGTCTATTCCCGATGACGTATAATTTCAAATTTTAAATTTCAATTGAGCTTAATTTAAAAACTTTTAGCTTTTTTAACGAACTGATTATTTAGAATAACTTGTATAGCGACTA